CATGTGAAAAAATATGTTTGGCCCCCTCATATCTTCAAATTTTGCCTTTAACACCACACCCTCCCCGCAGGAAATATTTCTCTAGCTCGAGTACTTTACTCAATCGAGGATGAAAAAATAGATGATTGGACCCTGGGCCCATATTTACTGCATGAACCTTGCTGGACAATATGTACTATTAAATGAGGAGCTCTTTTATAGTACCCCTAATTATATATAAGGCGTCCATTTTGTCAAATCCAATGGATAATCTTAATTGGTACTCCAACCTACTTCCTCCGTCTCATAATATAAGAGTGTTTTTTGATACTATACTAGTGTTTAAAACGTTCTTATATTATGGGACAGAGGGAGTAGTATCAAAGGAGTAGCGACGCCAAAAGTTGTGGAGTACCGTTATCTTAAGGGTAAAATGGTACCACCGGCAATTACCTAGGGTAACTGGTGTAATATTAATTACAAACACAACACGTATCACATCATTTTCTTACTCATTTTTATCAAAAGATCATCACAATATTTAAACCCTAAGTTCATCAGCTGGACCATAGGGACGAGGCCCCGCCGGCGAGACTGCTGCCAGAGACCTGCAATTACTTTCTTCATGATAAGCGATGCAGGGCAAAAGAACGAGATGCAGAGTTGCAGACCTTGAGCACCGGAGAATCAAAACCAATGGGACATGTGACAAGTAGATGCACTTAGGGTCAAATCGTACTAGCAGCAACTAGCAAGCGACTGCAAACATCAATTTAATTTCAACCAATGAGCACCAATTATGGAAGGAGCAAAATCGGCGTGGCGGTAGCGGCTGAGATGATAGTCGTGCGAGAGATGAGGGGATGATCCAGATCAATCGGCGCCTCGGCACCCACCAAGATGTACGCATCAGCGATCTTGCATGTAAACTGAATTTAGGCACAAACTGCGCGGAGAATTATGTTCCGGAGAGAAAGTCAATATTGCCCTTTCGAATCTATGGTGGATATCGATCCGTACTCCCCACCTCCAATTGGGAGTACAAGGCTATCATAAAAAACCTCTAAATAAGAGTTGGTACGTCGTTTCGTTATAGGAATGCTCCATATTTTTTTCCTCATGTCAAAGAAAATACTCATGTACACCGCAAAAAGAAAAAATAGTCGTGTAGAAGTACATGCCAACAAAAGGAGAGTGGTGCGAACCAACCTATGGTTGGATGGTTAGGGACTGTGGTGTTTCCAGCCCACCAGGGTTCAAATCCTGGTGCTCGCATTTATTCCTGGATTTATTTCAGGATTTCCTGTGATGCGCATTCAGTGATAGGAGACGTTCCCGTCGACGACGAGACGCATATGGTGACTTCATAAATCTCAAGATGATATGCCGGCTCAGTCTTTCGGAGGTGCTCATAGGGGTAGGGTGTGCTTGTGTGCGTTCATGGGGATGAGTGTATGCGCGTGTATATGAGTGCTTGTGTCTGTACTGATGTTAAAAAAAAAACAAAAGAAGAGTGGTATACACACCCACACCCACACATTAATCCCGGTCGAGCCAGCCCTGGATCCCTGGTACTTATCACAGGCATGCGTGTTGCACTACCAGACGTCCAGCATTGTACGTCCAATGCAACAAGCGCGCTTCATGTCGAAGCCACGGGAGTGGCAGGAGGAGGGACGACGTAGGGAGTGGCGCAGAGCATAAGCGGGTTCTTCCTACGCACGCCGAGCCCCATGGACTCCACCATGTCCACCTCTTCCACGCCGGCGGGCAGCGTCCAGTCGAAGTGGTACATGAGCTGCAGCAGCGTGAGCTCCATGCCGGCGAGCCCGTAGTTGTACCCTGGGCACATCCTCCTCCCGGCCCCGAACGGCGTGAACTCGAAGTGGAGGCCATGGAAGTCGACGGCGCCGTCCTGCTCAAACCGCTCCGGCGAGAACTCCTCGGGGTCCTTCCAGTAGCGCGGGTCCCTGGAGATGGCCCACGCATTCACCACCATCCTGGACTTGGCTGGCACCACGTACCCGCCGATCTCCGTTGTGTCGATGCTCTCCCTCGGTACCAGTAGCGGCGCCGCCGGGTGCAACCGAATCGCCTCCTTCATGGTGAGCTTCAGGTACCTGACGCTATTGCTACGGAGGTCCGTCTCGCTGATGTTGTCCTTCGTGGAACGCTCGTCGGACCTCGTCCTGCAGCTTCTTCATCACCCGCGGGGTGCGCATGATCTCTGACATGGCCCACTCCGTCGACGAGCCGGAGGTCCCCGTGCCGCCGGCGAACATGTCCTGCCATTATATGAAGCCACTTTCATTTAATCTGCTGGTAAGCATGCATGCATGCATACACGTTAATCTGGGACATCATCAAAGTACATACGACTTACCAGTACGACCGCTTTGATGGTGTTGTCCGTGACCGGGAACCCCCAGGGGTTGTCGCCCTTCTGCAGGGAGAGCATGACGTCGACGACGTTCTCATCGACGACGTCCTTGCCGGCAGCGATCCTGTCGGCACGCACCCTCCGCCTCCCCTCGATGATGTCCACGAGTATGTCGTCGAACGTCCTGTGGATCTCCCGCAGCTTCCTCTTCATGCCGGTGGCCTCGCCGAGCACCTCCCGGAGCCGCGGGAAGAGGTCCGGCACGTTGAACCCGCTGGAGAGCCCGACGACGCGCTTGATGGCGTGCTGGAACACCGGCATGTCCGGTCTCACCTCCCCGAACGCGGACCTGGAGATGGTCCGGCTGCTGATGTCGTACACCATCCTGGTGACATCGACCGGCTCGCCGGCCGCGGCGGCGGCGCGGATGAGGTCCACCTGCCGCTGCACCTCCTCCTCGCGTATGAACTGGAACTGGAGCACCCGCTTGGGGCTGAGGATCTCGTGGATGCAGAGCTTGCGGATCTTGCGCCAGTAGTCGCTGGTGGGGGCGAAGATGATGTCGGTCCAGCCGTAGCCGCAGATGTCGCCCACCAGCAGCCGGGGCCGGTTGGCGAAGTTGGGGTCCTGCACCTTGAGCACCTCGCGGGCCAGCTCCCGCGACGTCACCACCACCAGCGGCATCGGCCCGATCTTGAGCATCATGATGGGCCCGTGCACGCCGGCCAGGTCCCGGAGCCTCCGGTGCACCAGCGTGTTCACGAAGTGGTGCACGCTCCCGATGATCGGCAGCGTGCGCGGCCCCGGTGGCCGGCGGCCCGAGGACGGCTTGAAGAAGTAGATCATCGACACGGCCAGGAGGACCAGGAGGATTGCGTTGTACGTCGCGTCCTCCATGGCTACGTACCTTGGAGGAGAGATTGGCCACTCTACGTACCTAGCTAGCTTGCTTACGGATTGGCTCGAGAAGTGATCTACTGACCTAGCTAGCTAGCTAGCGAGCGAGCTTGAAGGCTTACACTGATCTCCCTAGCGTAGATACCGGCTGGTTTTATAGCGGAAGTGAGCAAGTGCGTCCACGGGGACGTACGTGCTTCTCTTCTTTGGTTTCGACGACTCCATTGCAGCCAACGGAAACTTAACCCTAGCATAGCACAACGACAAAGCCGGTGCATGCATGGTGCTACCTTGCAGGCAACAAGATAAGTCACCGGACGCCACACGTGGACGCCGTCGACGGGAACTAGGCGCGTCATTGCTCATTGGCCACAGGCCACGGGAGTTTCTCAGACTTGACGAGACGTGGTATCTCAAACTACCGTTCATCGATCAGCATCACCTTCATCGCTATCGGGAGTTACTACGTCCAAAATCTACCGTGTAAAATTACAGTCAGGTATTGGCCAGTTCCTCCTGCCCACGTCAGCTGACGCCAAAGTGACGGGGTTGCACATGCATCAACCTGCAAAAAATAGTAATATATTTCCCATACTGTGATTCCAGGCGTCCAGCTAGACATGGTATCAAAGAAAATCTTATCTGCCTATGTTGACGTGTGCATAGTTGTGTTGCTTAGATCTTGACAAAGGATAGTTTAGTCCCGGCTTAAAGAGGCTGCTGGCAAGTTCTAGGTCTAGTCTATTTGAATATTTTGTGGTGACGAAGAATCTGTAGCTAGATTATTTTATATATATAAGTGCTCTCTGGCTAGCCAAGTGCATTTTGTATGAATACTTCCTAATGTAAGTTATTTGGTCCCGTATGAACAATACAATACTTTATTTCCCCTGCTAAAAAAATACAAGAGTTTTTCAATTATTAGATGTTTGCTAGTCGTCATAATACAAAGAAAATATTTCCATTTGACTCAATCTAAAAAAAAAATCCTTTGGAGTTGTATGCAAGTCCACTGAAAGTAAACACACAAATAGTGGGACACAACATGAGTGTGCGCAAGGCCATTCGTATGGCTATATGTTTGGTTTGTTTTCAAAATATACCCACCAAAGAAAATGTCAGAGCAAAAAAAAAAAAAGGTTCTTGTTCGGATGGTTGCCAAAGATTTGGCTCGCTCATGCCTATTTGTCCTCTCTAGTCCATTTTTTCTCAACATTGGCCAATTCATGGGCAAACAAAAACTTAGCCAAATACTAGTTACTAGGTGAACTTTGGCTCAAACCAAACATGTGTTGTGTAGTTAAGCCATAGACGACTATTATCATAATGTTTAATCATCTGACGACAAAACAAGAGCTCACCATTGAATTTATTTGTAATCTCATTGGATCTTGATGTAGAGTAATGTTTCCTCGTGAGCCAGCAAAATAATAGTACACCATTTTGGCGAAAATTGCTTTTGGAGGCCGAGCACCATCGAGGCCTCCATTTGCAAAATTCAAAATTCCTCAAAATTCATATTTTGATATTTCAAAAAATTCTGAATAAAATAAATATATACATGGAGGCATAATGTACATGTGCGTAAATTTTTTGGACAAAATATGTTGAAATGAGGGCTCTGAAAAAAAAACAAATCCGGGACTTTTCAGCACATGATACTATTCATCCTCAAAGTCGATGGATTTTTTTGTGCAGGTCGCATTCCAAGGTATTTTATCCTGAATTTTTACACACATATGCATTTCATCCTTGTATGCTTGCATATTTTCCAGAATTTTTTTTAAAATGGAAAGTTTAAATTTTGATTTTTTAAAACTTTTGGGCTCCATGGAGCCCGTTCATCAAAACACCATTTGGTTCTTATCTAACTTCATCCATCATCTCCTTTAATCTCGGACTACACTGTAATGTTTTACCATGTATCACAAAAATTAGAGAGGGCACAAATCTCCAAGACAACCCATATGGCTTTCACTTTCAGTGTAATTTCATCAATTTTGGTGCATACTGAAATAATTCCCTTTATGTCAAGATATTTCAACACTTCCGGTAGCACACACAATTTGTTTTTTTTTGTTGGGTGATCTCAATCAAATTCAAGTGGAAATTTCGGTGTTTTGGCCGAACTGAAAATCAAATCACTGGATTTCAGCGATTTCGGCTATGTATGGCTGAAATCCAAAACCATATTCCATGTACACTAGCTAGCATACGTGGCATTGGATTATTGGATTTCTCCTTCCCCATTTGAAACATATGCGTGGCATTGGGCCCGGCCAGGGTGCGGCCTTTCTACACGAGTTTCTCAAACTTGACGAAACATGTTTTTTCTGAAACTACCATTCATTGGTCAACATCACATTCGTTGCTCTCGGAAGTTACTATGTCTAAAAACTAGTACTCCCTCCGTTCTAAAATAAATGACCCAACTTTGTACCCAACTTTCTAGTACAAAGTTGGGTCATCTAAGGAAGTACCTTGTAAAATTACAACTGGATCAGCCAGCTGGCTAACTAGTAGTGATGGTTGTCACTGTCCACGTCAAGCGACCCTAAAGTGACGTGTGCATCAACCTGTAAAACATCACTTATCCTCACGTCCAAGTTCATAGAAAAATATATGTTTTTTTTCGAAAAGGGGGTTTACCCCAGCCTCTGCATCAGAAAGATGCATACGGCTCATATTATTAAAAATAAAGTTCAGCAACAAAGTCGTCAAGTATCGAGGTGCGAAGATAAACAAAAGGCTTGAAAGAGCTCAAACCCAAAGCCACAACCGGCTGGCAAACACAATAGGATCACTACATGTTTATCCTATTACATGACCGCCATCCAAACCGGTTGAAAATATCCCGCGCTACCATCTCCCATCGGGTAGACGCGGTAACCAAACGCTCCCTGGCCTCCGTCGGAGTGAGTAGCGACCACATACGGATGAATGTCGTGGCCTTGAAGATAACCTGCAAAAAGTGAATGTTTGTTGATCTGCTAAATACTAAATCATTTCTGCAGTTCCATACTGCCCAAAGTAAAGCACAAACGCCAACACGAATGTGTCTTGCAGTATCGGAATCAACCTCATCAAGCCATGTTCCAAATAACATGTTGATAGAGGTGGGCTGATTAATATTGAACGCAATATGAATCGACCGCCACAGAATCTTAGCCAACGGACAATCGAGAAAGAGGTGTTTGATGCTTTCGTTATGATCGCAAAAGCTACACCTAGATGAGCCCACCCAGTTGCGTTTTGCCAGGTTATCCTTAGTCAAAATGACTTGTTTATGCACAAACCACATAAACACTTTGATACGTAAGGGAACCTTTACTCTCCAAACGTGAATCGAGAAAGGGACAGCGCTAGAGTTAATGACATCCAGAGACATAGATTTAACCGAGAACACACCGTTCTTAGTAAGTTTCCAATACGGCTGATCTGGTTGCTGGGTCAGCCGGACCTCCATTAAACATCTAACGAGGTGGAGCCAGGCCTCCCAACGATTTCCAACTAGCGTTCTCCGAAAACTAATATTTAGGGGAGTGGATTGCAGAACAGTTGCAACGTAGGCTTCTCTACGTCGCACAATGTTGTACAAAGTAGGATATTGAAGTGCAAGGGGAGTCTCCGCAAGCCATGTATCCTCCCAAAACCTCGTAGTGGCACCATTCCCGATAATAAATTTTGACTTGCTGAAAAAAAATGTTTGACTCTCATCAAACCCTTCCAAAAAGGTGAGTCGGAAGGCCTCACATTTACCTGAGCCAAGGTTTTAGCATAAAGATACTTATTACGCAAAATCTGTTCCCAAGTAGCTTCCGTCTCAGACGACAGTTTAAATAGCCACGTGCTAAGGAGACATATGTTTTTGACTTCCAAATTCTCAATACCTAGACCCCCTTGATCCTTCGGCCTACAGATTATATCCCACTTAGCAAGCCTATACTTTCGTTTGAGCTCGTCATTCTGCCAAAAGAATCGAGATCGGTAGAAACCTAATCTTTTCCTGACTCCCACCAGGACCTGGAAAAAAGATAAGAGAAACATAGGCATACTGGTAAAGACCGAATTAATCAGAATCAATCGTCCTCCGTATGACATGAGCTTTCCTTTTCAACAGCTCAGTTTCTTTTCAAAGCGATCCTCGATGCATTTCCACTCAATGTTAGTCAGCTTACGATGATGAATGGGTATACCTAAGTACGTAAACGGTAAGGATCCCAATTCACATCCGAACAATTGTTTATACGTATCCTGGTCATCCTTTGCTCTTCCAAAGCAAAACAATTCACTCTTGTGGAAGTTAATTTTGAGGCCAGATAATTGTTCAAATAAGCATAACAGCAGCTTCATGTTTCTTGCTTTCGCTAGGTCGTGCTCCATAAAGATGATAGTATCATCAGCATACCGAAGAATGGAAATCCCTCCGTTAACTAGATGTGGGACCAGGCCACCTACCTGCCCTGCATCCTTTACCCGACCTATTAAGATAGTGAGCATATCAGCCACTATGTTAAACAAAATCGGTGACATCGGGTCTCCTTGCCTTAGCCCCTTGTGTGTTTGGAAATAGTGACCTATGTCGTCATTCACTTTAATCCCTACACTCCCTTTTTGCGTAAAGGAATCAATCTGGTTTCTCCATGCCGGATCAAAACCTTTCATACGCAAAGCTTGTTGAAGGAAAGGCCATTTAACTTTATCATATGTTTTTTCAAAATCCACTTTAAAAACTACGCCATCAAGTTTTTTTGAGTGGATTTCATGAAGCGTTTCATGCAAGACAACAACCCCTTCAAGGATGTTTCTATCAGGCATGAACGCAGTCTGGGACGGATGAACCACAGAGTGCGCAATCTGCGTAAGTCTGTTCGTCCCGACCTTGGTGAATATTTTGAAACTCACATTAAGCAGACATATAGGTCTGAACTGCTCAATGCGAACCGCGTCTGTCTTCTTAGGAAGAAGAGTTATCGTTCCAAAATTCAGTTTAAACAACT